TGGCAAGCAAAGTTCTCCAGCAACTGAAGAACAAAGGCCAATGAATAGAACAAATTAATTGATCCTTAATCAATTTAAGAGTTGTTTTAACTAAGTGTGTGCTTAATTATGGTCTCGGAAGCCTTGGTCAGAACAGAGGGCTTCCATTCAGGACCAATCAAGCAATGGTCCCATTCACTAAGCAGGAAACACTGGATCTGGTTTTCTGAACTGAGAAAGGTGATTTATAATTAAGAGAGGCAGAAATGCCTCCTTTGTCGTGGGCATATCTATCTACCTGATCAGGTTGCAATGGTTGGCATCACCTGTTTCCCCATAAGTGTATGGGGTCAGTTCTGAGGAAAGCATGCAACGTTTTCTGAATCTGAGGAGTTTTCTGAATTTGCTGGCGAGTGTTATTGCTGATACCCCAAATATTATGGTCAAGGCCATCATGATAACATCCTGGAATGGCCAATTTCCCAGGTCCTCTTATCAGTTGGGGCCTTCAGTCCGCCCACTGAGCCCCAAGATTTGGTTTTCCAAAGAGTTATGGGCCATGGAACATCCTAGCAAATGTATAACGTGACAACAGCATAAATCTAGAAGCAAACAGAGGCAGGTTTACCTTTGAGCTCTCTGGGCAGCCTACGTTGTGACAGTGATAGAAAAGAAAAATGCTTCCACTAAACTTGATGAAAATCAGCTCAGGGAGCTGTTCTGTGAAGTGCAGAACCTGAAACCACCTATTAGGGTTATGAAACATCCCCTTATATCCCTGGCAGAGAACTATAAGAGGCTTCATGGATTTTTTTCACAGATGTTTGAGCTGTGGATTCATTTCATCCTATTGAAAGGATGCTTGAATGAGTTTGGGCCACTATTATTATAATTCCTCCCCCAGAAGAAGAAGCACCGCTTGTCTTGAAAGGGGGATATAGCTCTTCCTTAAAAAAAATCACCAGAATCTTCTTCTTTTTTTTTCAAATTTGGAACATTTCTGGCCGAAGTTGTTTAGGAGGTGAGTCATTAAGTGGGGTTGAATAAATCCAAGTGCTCCAGAAAGAAAATGGATTTTCTATATTTATTCGGTTTTATGCCAGACCATATTTTCTCAATCTGTAACTTTGAAGTTCCTCACCATTAGGATTATTTTTTTTCATTAATGTCTCTAATTTAATTTTCCATTTGAAGATTACACTTAGATAACCATTGGCTGTTTTTATTCGGCTAAGTCTCTGTAGTACTAATAACACCTATGTTCTCCACTGAATATTTGAATAGAAACTCTGCCTGTGACAAAGACAAGCCTTCAACTGAAATAACCCCTGACTTGGGAGACCCTATTCTCTAGAGCGAAAAGGTATGTTGTCATCATTCAAGCATTAGGTGTCTTTCTTTTAAGTTATACATCTGTTTTCTGGAAGCTTCCTTCTCCATGATGGCAGAGGAGAAAGGAAAGGGATGACACTATATTTCAAACATGATAATCTTGCCCAGAAATCACTCAAAAAAAGCAGTGTTATCATTTTCTGACCATCAGTAGAGTTTTGCACCTCTGGATGGTTATTGTATGACAATGCAATGTGTAATAAAATATATTTGGAATGAAGAATTCTTCCTGTGAGCGTTTGCCTCTTTCCTTAAAAAACAACGTATACTAGAGAACAGGATATCCAAGTAATAGACTATTTCAGCTGAAGGCTTAACTTTGTCACAGGCAGAGTTTCTATGCAAATCTTCATTGAATAAGTATTGGTGCTACAGAAGAACATAGGTATTATTTAGTACTACAGAGACCTAGTGGAATAAACATAGCCAATGACTATCAAAGTGTAATCCTTTCTTTAAAAAAAAAGGCAAAAGGCAAATGGTCACTGGAAGAATTCTTCATTCCAAATATATTTTATTACACATTGCATCATGCCATACAATAACTACCCAGAGATGCAAAATTTTAGAAAGCAGCACATTTATTGATGGTAATATAATGATTACAATCACTAGCACAAGTAGCAGTAACATTAGCAAAAAATACTTTGGCCAATAAATAAACCATGTATTATTGAAATTTCTTTGGTTCTTGTATTTTTTCTTGACCTCAATGGTATGAAATTGACTTAGAATTGTCATAAGGAATGTTGTACAAATCTTATTTTAAGCTAGAACAAAATTTTTGCACATGCTACATTCTTCATTTAGTATTGCTGCGCCTGTTTTGACTTTCTTAGAATGGGAAAAGGAACAATTTTCCTCCCAAATGATTCCATTCTTTCTTGTAATATTGGATCTGGATCTACATTACATTTTGCTCTACTGTACATTAGTCCAAAGAAATATCTGTTCAAACCTCAGCCAGACCATAAATAGTACGTTATAGTCCTTGTGTTTCTCAGCAACTACTAATTAATGAGATAAAGTTAATTACACAACCTTCCATGCCCTCAATGAATCTGGATGCTTGCTGGCACAATTCATATTTTTTGTCCCTGATTAATGCTCCATAATTAACATTACATTCCACTTGAACAAAGAACAGCACGAAATATCAGCCTAAATGCATTAAATGCAGGAGAACCATCTCTGTTCTGATTTCTTATAAGTGTGTATGAGATAAGCATGAGTCAGATCTAGACAAAGAGCATCGAATCCAGTTAGAAGGAAGGAGGGGATTTTTTTACTGAGGTTTTTTATTTAATTTTCTTTCTGAGTTTGAAGGTATTTTAAAGATAAAAAGATTGTTAACTGGTAAATAGGAGCCTATTTTGGGGAGGGGGTGAAATAATGAGATAAGAAACAGAAATAAACAGAAACCATCCACTGGATTGATTAGATTTTAAAATAGGTTGTTTGCTAGGAATAAAATCCAAATTTCGTGTTATCCCTTCTTATTCCTAAATCATCCTGAAAAAAAAAAACAAGATTGCCAGTGGCACCTGTAACTGTTAGAATTCTGTAGTTTTAAGAAGGAACCTCAAGAACTGGCTGTTGAGATAATATTTTCATCTACCCTTTGCATTCATATTAAAAGATTTGGGAAGGAACCAAAAGATTAAGCAAATGATGTTCTTGTAGCTAAAGAAATTGTATTGACAAGAGAAATTTGGTTTTGGGAACCATGATCTGCACTTTCTGAATGAATGAATCCAGGATCAAGATGAATTATAAGGACTGGGAAGAGGTAAGTTTTGTCAAAGCATGGTAAGCGTGATTTCAAAATCATTAAATGATATCCTGTCACAGGTTGGGGGTGAAAATCCTGAAGACCTCAGATATCCATTGTTTAAGAGGAGGAAAGAGACTACTGAGACCTGTTACCTTTGAATGAAAACTTTGAAAATCTGCTCCTAAAGTTTACTGCCTTTGTTTTCTTTTCACAAAGAATCGTAGAACCTTAGGGCTAGAAGGAAGCTTGGGCAGGGGTGGTATTCAGCAGGTTCTGACCAATTCTGGAGAACCAGTAGCATTCAGAGAACCAGCAAATCCCACCTCTGACTGGCCCCGCCCCCATCTATTCTCCGCCTCCCGAGTCCCAGCTGATTGGTTGGGTCTTCTTTTGTTGCCCTGCACAGGAGAACGGAGCTGGAAAGCAGGTTAGTGGGGTGGGGAGGGAATAGGGATTTTGCAGTAACCTTCCCCTGCCACACCCACCAAGCCACACCCACAGAACCATAGTAAAAAATGTTGAATCCCACCACTGATAATCCAACCCCCACCATCCATCATAATTCCTAAGGACATAATTGGATTATACTTTGAGAATTCCTGGCTTGAAACAAGTAGACAAGACTAATAAGGGCTGATGTTTATTGCCAATCACTCCATCAGGCAGAAGATAAATGCTTTCCAAAATCAATTTGTAACTCAAGAAGACATGGAACAACAAGGTCTTTAATTACCTTGACATCTGCTGGGAGATACACTCAGCTAAGCATGAGCTCTGCAGGTGATTCTGAATATGGATTGCTAACAACTCTACGCTTCAGAAAGCAAAGCAAGGCACAAGAGAGAACATAAGTCCTCGATCTGATATTAATCAGTAGGGAAGACTGAAGTGGAAGTTCCGAAAATGTCACAGGGAAATGACTATGGAATTATGGAATTCTAGAATTTAAAGAAAACTAAACCTCTGTGTGTGTGTGTGTGTGTGTGTGTGTGTGTGTGTGTAGATATAGATACAGATATAGATATATATTTTCTATGAGAATATAGGTCTGTGCTCAGCTTACCTTCACCAGAATGTCTGCCAGCCTTGTGTATCTGTAGCGGATGAAAACCCCAAGGCCAATGGGGAGCAGAGTACTGCACAAGGTCAGGGTGACTGCCCCCAGGGGTAACAGGCGCACCAATGGGGTGTTGATCCAAGCTCGGCTATAGATCCACAGACAAAGAGGCATCAAGATCAAAGCCAGCAAGGTGGAGGAGGCAGTCATGATGATGCTATCAGGAAAAGAAAGAAAGAAGACAGCCCTGGGTCAAAAGCACAAGGTAAGCGGCATCCTGAAGCCCCTCTTCTCTTCCTCCACTTCTCCTGAATGGCCCAGTTACTCCTACTGGCAAGAGGGAGCTGCATGTAATTAGTAGTTCAGAAGTCAGGCTCTTTTTCTGTGTACCCTCTATGCCCAACCCAAGTCTGCTCTTGTATCTTTACACTTTATATTGTTTTTACTGGTTTTCCTAGTATGTTTTGATTGCATATTAGTAACCTATGAATGATTTGATTGCTTATTTAGTAACTTATGACTATCACTAAGTGGTATATCTTATGATTCTTGATGAATGTATTTTATTTTTTCTTATGTACACTAAGAGCTTATGCACCAAAGACAAATTCCTCGTGGGTCCAATCACACTTGGCCAATAAAGAATTCTATTCTATTCTATTCTATTCTATTCTATTCTATTCTATTCTAT